TGAATCACATGGGATGAAATTGGATTGTTCTAACTGTGGTTTTTTTGTTTGTGATTTCTCTTCTGACTATAATTGCAGATTGATACTGCCAGATTACAAGTTGTTGATCTAATAGGAACTACCATGCGACTATCAAATCTCGATCTTGTGATCTCTTACGTGTTTAAAGGGGAAAACACAGCATCCTCGGTAGCAGCTTCATCAAAAGTTAAAGGGGATATACTCGCTCCAGCACTCTCGAATGCTCAAGTAAGTCTGTTGCTTTATTTGTTTAGTGTTGTCCTAACTGTGGATATATCAATCATCTAATCCCAACTTGGACATGTCCATCATCTATTCAAGGTCTGAGATATAATATCTATTCATGCATAAAATTAATGACTGTCCAAACCTGGCTACTGACTTTAACTTCTACTTGTAACCATTACCTTTTGCCTGTTTGGATGTGAGGAATTACTTATTTGTAACCAACCCCAGTTTGTTTTTACTGATGTGCAGGAAATGCTTGGAAAATATGCTGAGTGGCTACAATCAAATACTGCCCGTGAAGGGAGTCAGTCCCTAAAATCATTTGAAAACAAATGGCCAAAATATGTCAATTCAAACACTCAATTGGGCATAGACACGTATGACTTGCTTTGGAAAACTGATAAATTCAGCTTGAAAACAATACAGAACTTGAGTGCCGGAACCTCATCAAAACGATTGGAACAAGATATTCGAGAAGTGGTGAGTTTCAAGTACTAAATAAACTTACTTGTTCTAACTAGAATTCAGTCGAGTCAAAGTGCCTTGATCTTCTATCATTGTTTAATTGTGTTACCTGCTCAATCTGAACTTAAGATCTGAAGGAGATGTTTATTCAGTATCTTATTTTTCCAGATTCTTCGTTTGGTTATTAAAGAATCAATTTAACTGATTCTTTTGACAGGATTGAAATTTGTTTGCCTTGTATAGTTCTTTGTGACAGTTGGTGGGCTTGGAGCTGCGGGGCTATCCGCGTCACTTCTGACCTCAGTGCTACCCACCACATTGGAAGATCTTCTTGCTCTTGGCCTTTGCTCCGCTGGAGGGTATTAATACTTCTCTGGATTTCCCCTCTTTCCCAATACTCCACCTTCTTATATCACGTTTCCTAGTTTATTTTTTCCCTTGCAACCAAAGGCATATTATGATGCTTTAGACGAAATACTAGTTGTTTATTTAACATAATCTATGTGGCAGGTATGTGGCTATAGCAAACTTCCCATATCGTAGGCAAGCTATAATTGGTAAGGTGAATAAAGTGGCTGATGCGTTGGCTCAACAGCTCGAAGATGCTATGCAAAAGGATCTTTCAGATGCGACGAACAATCTAGTAAACTTCGTGAATATCGTTGCCAAGCCATACCGAGAAGAAGCTCAGCTAAGACTTGATCGGCTTTTAGGGATCCAGAGAGAGCTATCAGATATTAGAAGTAAATTACAGTTGCTACAAGTTGAAATTGATAATCTTCATGTATCACGAGACGAGATGAGACTTTAGATGTTTCAGGGACAGTGTATGAACTTTGTCATAATGAATAAGACCTCCCAGTTCCCAATTCAAATGGACTCATTGATGGTTTATCACACGCGAATTCAAAAGATTGGAGAGTTTCATGAAAGGAACAAAAAAATAGCATGAATCTCTAGTAGTTTTTTTGACTTCTTTTTCAGATTGTTTCTGATACAAATAGCTGGAGGGAATTGGAAGCTCTGGAGAGTTGTGGACCTGCACATATACGGTATATCTCACATCGCAGGTAAGTATATTACTTGACTGATATTCTATCATTGAAATTTATGTATTCTTCTGGAGTCCATGACGTGCTTGAATACATTCATATGCAATCGATTTTCCGCATAGAGCATCTAAACTTTGTTGTCAGTGTTCTAATCTTTTGACTTCACTGACTTAAATATGGGAAAATAATTCTTAGTATAGGTTTCCATGAGGAGTAATCCTCAGCATATGCTAGCTAAGATTTCTAAAGATAAAAGCGCATAAACTTCGTTTCTAGGTAAGGATTGGTTAAAAGCATTTGAAAATCCAGAATTGGTAGAATAAACCTTGGTTAATGCTTGATACTGGAAATTAATTAGAGTTAATGTTAGACTAATGAAAGCTTGTTCATAGGCTCCTTGTTAGTTTTCTAATCAAAGTCTAGCTGTTAGCTAATGACATGTATGCTTGATAACCAAACCTTTTAAATTCATTAAAAACAAAGAGTGAATATTAGTATAGTCAAAAGTTAGGGAAAGAGAAAATCCTCAGTTGACATGTTTGTGTGTAAGCGTGAGATAGATTCCACCTTCCTTTGTTGCTAAAGATTATAAAGTTGAATAGACTAACAATATTAAAAAAAAAAAAAAAAGGTTACAGAAATTTCGAAAACAAAAAGAAATTTGAGAGGATCTAGCTTTGGATTGTCCTTTTTATTTGGGGACCAGAAGTGGGATGATGATGCAGAGAAAGCCCACTTTTTTTTTGTTCTTGTTTCAAAGTTTCTCTTCTTCTGATTGGTGTAGACAAATCCAAAATAAAAAAGGGGAAAAACAACGATTGGCGAATGCGAAATTCGGATGGTAAGGGCTCATTAAAGAGAGAAAATAAGGTACAGATTCTGGTTTATAACTTTACTTACCACTAAGTTAGTACACACGTTTTTAACTCAGCTTTGTCGACATTTCATTACCAAAAAACTTTTGTTTTCACAACACATGAAGCTTTGAAAAGTTTTCCTCGCTTGAAATGGAAACTTCTTTTGCTACCCGTAGCTTTTTAAAATATTGTTCCATTAACTAAATCATTGTAATAGACATCACTAGTTATAATCCCTACTAGTATGAGACATGCTTATTGTCTATGTTCCTTAACTGGCCCTACATTTTTTACCTCTTTGAGAACCTATGGTCTATAGGAGGATCATCTCTAGCCCGAGCATTGATTCGTAACACGTAAAGACAGAAACATATCACCATAAGTTTTCTATTACAAGGCATACATGTTTTTAATCATTCATTCATTACATTTGAGGTGTAGATTAATCATAAGAAGAAAGCTCGGTTTTTCGCATGCTGTACTTCCTTTTTCTTTGAATCTGGTTACAATGTACCAAGAAGTATTAGGAAACTGTCAAATGTGATCTTGTGATGCTGCAATATCAGAAACACAATCTCAAGGATTTGGACATGAAACTGATTTCGAGCCATCGGCCATTTCTACTATTGATTGGCAAGTATGTCACTGCTTTTGTTTGATTCTAGACTTACTCTAATCATTTTCGAAACATAAGTAATATCGCGGATTTGGTTATAATCGATATTTTATCCGTATAAAAAAAAGGGGAAAGATTTGTCTATATATTGATTCTTATTATATATGGTTCAAGTCACTTTGCATCACAGTTTCAAGTTGGTAGTTAGGTCCCAGGAAGGTGTGGACTTGGAACTCTGGTCTTTGTGATTTCTTTGTCTTCAATTATTGGGTTTAGAAACTTTCATCACTAGGGGCATTTTGGTATTTCAAACCATTTTTATGGGTTAGCTAAGCATTGCATGATTATAATCATCTATTTCCTAACAAATTATTATATTTATAGAATAATTTTTTGCTCAACGAAATGAACACTCTTAATTGGGTAGTTATAAATACGGTTTTTAAGCTGGAAAAAAAGAGTTACCAGATAATAAATACTATACATTTTCTATAAGAATACTAACGTACAAGAATGCAATAGAACCTATCAATTCTTGTAGACATAGAGTCATTCCAACAAGACCAAGTTGCAACCACAGGTTGAGGAAGAAACTTAATTGTCAAGTGACTATAGGTTAGGTAAGCCTATTGTTTTGTGTTTATTGTTTTACGAATAAAAATATTTAACCTTTTTTTTTTAAAAAAAGAATATTTAACCTTTTTAAGCACGACACAAAACAATAAACTTAAAGTCTTAAACTGCTTACGCTTAATTGACCATTTGACCATAGTTTACTTCCAAAACAACACCAACAATATTGTTTCTCTTCCATTTTTTTTTTTACGATTGAGAAAAAATACCATTTCCCATTTAATCAAGTATTGCAAAATATATATGTCGATACATTTTCATATTTTTTTTGTTAATCAACAATATGCATTAATGCAACGACGAAGTTAGCATAAACCTTTTTAAGCACGACACAAAACAATAAACTGAAACTGCTTACGCTTAATGGACATTTGACCATAGTTTACTTCCGAAACACCACCAACAATATTGCTTCTCTTCCTTTTGTTTTTTTTTTTACTTGTGGGAAAATCTCATTTCCCATTCATAAAAGTATAGCAAAAAAAATTCAAAAATATATGTCGATACATTTTTATAATTTCTTAATCAACAGTGTGCACTATGTGGCTAATGCAAAGACGAAATTAAGCATAAACCACCATACTCACAGCTATTTGGGTAATTAATAAATCAAGAAAAATGGAAGCCGTTTTCTCCATAGTGGTACCGCTATATAGGACGAATATGCGTTTAAGGGCTATTGAAATTGTTTTATTATGTCTATGTTCTATGTTTAAGTATCATCTTTTTTTGTTTTCTCTTTCAGCTTTCTTCTAAGATTATTTAATTAGTAGTTGCCAAAACATATATATAAGCTTATACTTTCATGTTCCAAATGAGATATCAACATTTGGATATTACGTCACTAATTAATTGTTCTATATGGTTAATATTTTATAAGTAAATGGTCATACAATAAAAGTTGAAAACTAATAAAAGCCTAAAAGAATCCGATGCCAAGTGGACTCACCACTATAAATATTTCTTCACCCCTCCCTCTTCCCCATTCACATTCATTCCTCTTTTCTTTAATTAGCTCTTAACTCAATTAACCAACCTCCCTCCCTCTCTTTCTTTAACGAGAAAAACCGAAAAGTCTAATTAACAATCCCTCATTTGCATTCCTCTGTTTTGCTCAAGAAGACAAAAATGTCCATTCTTGTTTGTCATGGTCAAGATCAAACTGTCACCAAGAGAAACGAGAGTTTCTGTCCAAAAGGCGACATGGGTGGGTTGAGTTTCTTGCAATCTATGTCCGATATCACCGCCATTGTCGGAAACAGAGAGGATAAAGCTTATGTTCATCCGACCGAGAAACGCTCTGTTTCTAAGCTCAACGAGAAAAGCTTAGAGATGTGCACTGAGAGCCTCGGAACCGAAACAGGAAGCGAGAGTGGAGACGATTTGTCCTTGCTTGCTTTTGAAGCAACCATTACTTCTAGGGTTCCTTCTCCTCCTCTTCATCCAAAACCTCAAGAAGAAGAAGACACTAACTTGCTTGCCAAGAAATCGAAGATGAGTCGCAACAACAGTTTCCCGCGACCTATAAAGTTCGTTGAAGGATCAAAGTATAATCGTATGGTGAGATCTTTGGGAGAAGATGGTCGTCTTGTTGTTCAAGCAATTAGGGTTTCTTCTCCACCTCCTTGCTTTGTAGCGGAACGTGGTGAAGGAAGGCTTCGTCTCTGTTTATCGCCGGAAAGTTATTTACTTTGCCACAATCAC